GGGCAGCCTGCTCAGTGCCCGACCACCCTTGCAGTGCAGTTTTTCCTACTATCCAATCTAAACCTCCCCTGACGCAGCTCGAGGCCGTTTCCTCTTGTCCTGTCACCAGTTACCCGGGAGTTCCTTTACATTCAGTGATCAAATGGTTCTTATCTCAATCCACGAGTTTCCGGGACGTTTCCCCCACTTCTCCCCTCCGCTGGGGAAAGGGGGAGGTGAGCAAGCGGCTGGGGGGTGCTTAATTGTGTGGGGTTTAACCACGACAATCCTAAACCGACTTCTAGGGAGAGGTGAGGGTGGAATTTTATCGCAGTTCGTTTTTTGCTGGGCGGGGGGGGTTCAGCTGCCACGTCTCCAGGAGGGCAGGTGGTCACACTGCCACGCTGGCTGAGCATTTCCAACTGCCACCCCTAAAACGCTGGTGACTGCTGACAAAACAAACGCTGCCATTTCTCCTCAAGCTCTCCCATTCCTGCCGGCTCCCCAGGGATGGATACGGATCGCCTTTAGCACTTTCCCCCTGATGGCGCCAGAAAGCAAGCGACGACAGGAACGTGGCGAAATGGCAGCTCCACCCCGGCTGTCCCGGCCTCATCTCCTGTTTACAACGGGAACCGAGACCGACCCGGCCCTTTCACACTTCCCTCTTCCCTTGGCTATCCCAGCCAGCACGCAGTTCTGTCCCAGGCCCGCTTGTCCAGGCCAAGGCAGCCAAGACAGACCGTCATTCCGAGCAGAAGGGAAAGGATGAGGCAGAAAAGAATATAATGGAGAGAGACGTGTGAGAAACTGCAACTTTTCCCATGCCCTGGGAATCAGCCCGTAGCTCAGTGGCTCCAACCTTCCTCACCAGTACTTGTCCAAGCGGGTGAACCTCCGCAATGGAGCGGGTAGTGACGGAGAGGAGGACGCGGGACTGTGGCTGGGGCCACCTCCAGACATCACCTGAGATATGTTTGAACAAAGCACGAGCTGTTCCCTGAGGAAGACAAAGGTACCTGGATTAGTGCCTCTAAACCCTGGGGTTCGGGATTTAACACCCCCAGCTGCCTGTCAGGCACCTCTCCCCAGACAGCCCAATCCTGAGGGGAAAGGAAGGGGAGGGAAAGGAAGCAAGAGATGAAAGGGAGTGAAAAATTGTAATTCATTCAGAAGAAATAATGCTCACCTGCATCACAGCGTGTGGAACAAGAGTGATGGTCTCCGGAATCAGTTTAAACGGAGCAAAGACCTGGTAAAAGGGAAAACAGACTGGTGTAAAACGTGACACATCGGTGAAAGGTGGCTGGGCAGGGCAGCAGGAGTGGTAGTGCTGCGTCACACGGGCCTGTCAACGGAGATCTTGGCACAGCTCTATTCGCCGTGAGGGAAGTGGTTCTGCCTTCCCAACGAAAGGACCTGGAGAGAACGAGGGATACTTGGCCGAGACACAGAAATGTATCAGTGGTCCCCGACAACCCTTTTTGATACGGATCTGAGACACAAAACATGGAGGCTGCAGGATGTCGGGGCTTGAGGCTTGAACTCTGAGACACCCACAGTCCTAGACAGAGCTCCGAGTGGCAAAATACATCCAATAACACAGGAGGTGTGAGGGAATCGGTGCCTTTGGCAGCAAATAATTCATGGGCTGAGCTACCAGCTCTGAGTCAGCGCAGAGATCCCTCACTCCCCCAGGCGTGTTTCCAGGCCCGTGTGGTAACACAAACAGGCACTGGGAGATGTAAAAAATATTTCAGTCCTGCAAGCGGGAATCGCAGAGCTTTACAAACACGAGTGGGTTG